AAAAAAACAGCAACAACCATGTTTCCCATCGCACGACACCGTTCATCACAAACGATTTTAAGACAGGAAACATATATAACAAGACAAAAACTCCTGACGACGAGAACACACACTGGCAAAAAAAAGGTTCTTCCAATCTTTAAACTTCGCACAACTGTGCGAATGAAAACGATAATCTAAAATCGTTGACGACAATCATGCCGCCGTTCCATCGACCAACCAACCACGCGCACGACGACCATGGACACGGACCACGTAATAACTCCATCCGCCTACCGATCGAACCACCCCGTGTGCACCACCTCCCTACCGCACGGTCCTACATCAAAACTAGGCGGTCTCGCAGTGCATCCCTCAACAATTCACCTTCCACGTTCATGCACCGTCCCCGCCCGCGAGCGCCGTTCCCCACAATGCCCAAGTCCACTCTACGCCGAACGCCGTTCGCATCCACCTCCCACAGAAGGTTCTCGTCGAAGTTGATCCCCGCGTCCAGGAGGATATTGTGGAGAGTGCAGACAACCACGAATTGCTGTGGCAAGGTCTCTAGGTTCATCTTATGGGTGCGCAAGAACAGACGCCACATACACTTGAGTCGGCCGAATGTCCTCTCCACACACCCCCGTGCCACCTTTTGCCGCGTGTCGATGCGCTCCTCGTCAGCACCTTGGTCGATTCCTCCGTACGGCGACACAATCCACGGACAGGCAACTGGATAACCGTTGTCGCCTAGCAGGTAGCCTCGCGTGACGACACCATGCAGCAGATTCTCCGGAGTTGCGTCGAACAGCTCGCCACTTTCTGCACGTCTAAACAACTGGGAATTGTGCACGACACGGACGTCGTGCATACTTCCAGGGTATCCCATGTGGACGTCGAGGATCCGCAAATCCAAATCCACAACCACCTGCGCCTGCACGGAGAACTTCTGTTTGCGGTCGTAGTAGTTCTCGGAAGGTGGGTCGGCGGGCTTGTCAATGTAGATGTGTGTGCAGTCGATAGCGCCGAAGCAGTTTGGGAAACCCTTCTCACGGAAAGCGCGCAGAATCTGCGCACGTCTCCTGCCCATTGGCCACTTTATCGCGTCGCGGTACGCCTGCAGCAGCGCCGAAGTGACGTCGCGGACGGCCTGCAGTCCAGTTGCCCTGCCGATGCCAAATGCTGACGTGTCGCTCTCGTACGTCTCTCCGGACGCCCACCTGTATAACGCGAAAGCAATCAGTTGCTCCACTGGCAATGACATTCGATAGTGCGTCACCTTCTTCTCCATGTACGCGGCGCACGCGGCTACGATGTGGTTGAACATGGTCGTCGACATGCGCAACTTCTGCTGGAAGTACTCGTCCGTCTCGATGTCCCGAAGCCGGAGGTCCTCCCATGTCCCGCCAGTCCGTCGTTTGATCCACCATCGCGAAGTCTGCCGCGGGAAAACGCCAGACGTCACTGCGGCACACAACTGGACGACTGCCTCACACGTCGCCGTGCAATCCGGCGCCTCTGCAACGCTCTGCAACAGCGCTCTTCGTTGCCGGAGCCGCGTCAGCATGTCGTGCGACGAGGAGTCCTTGTTGCCCATCGTGTTCACGACGACGGCAGTCACCGCCATCGCCACGGCGTCTATCTCTTCGTCGCGTAGACCGTTTGAGCAGCCATGACTGTCCATCTATGCCAATCCTCGCACGGTTTGCCATGTCACGCCTTCGACAGCCGCCTCAGACACGCCCGCCGCGGAACTCTGTCGTCGTAGAGAAACAACGTCGGAGTCCACGATGGCAACGCTGTTGTACAATGGCACATGAGACGGACACGCGTCCGGTGATCCATGCTTCCAAAGGACGGTACGCACGCCGGAGGTGAACGTGCGGCTCACACGATCATGCGCACGCTCCTCGCAAGTTGTGTACACTCGAAAGATGGATTCCGCGCGGCGAACGGTAGGGAGGCGCCGTATTTTTCAGGTCACACGCGTTGGCAGGGAGGCGCCGTCTTTTTCATGGCGCACGCGTCCGCGAGAATTCGAATTCAAAATTTTGAAGTTCTGGGGAACCGCGCTTTTCACCGATCCATCAACTCCCGCCCAAGGCCCACCTCATTCTGTACCACGGACACCGCCGAGGAATGGACGGACATCAGCGGCGCGGCTGCGTATACGCGTATGAAAACGGGCCGCGGGGAATCTTTTAGGACAAGTCATAAAAGATGATTTTTAGGACTGCGTGTAACGACGCCGCACGAAATCCTAAAAAACCTTTAGGACTCGTCATAAAAATTTTAGGATTATTTTAGGAGTGTCTAACGAGACCCTCTCTCTCTCTCTCTCTCGCACACACACACACGCACACACCGCACACACACAGGCACACACACACATGCACACACACACACACACACAGAGGGGGCAAAATGCAAAGATGACCTAGGCCACTAGGAGTAAAACAAAAATACATAGGGCCTTGGAAAAGTTGGGAAGT